AATTCTAAACGTTGTGCATTTATCACTCCTGGCACTGTCGATGCCTCACGGCATCAATTACAATCACGAGACTCACAACAACTCGGGTTCTCGGGTCCGGTTTTTGACCCGTAAACCCGACCCTGTTTCCGTCTTCTCCTCAACGGTTATTCTTCTTCTGAAGTGATATCACCACTCTCACTCTCGTCTACACCCGAATTTTCAACCCGACCCGACTCCGAGTTTGTTTTCGGATCCGGAAGGATCTCCACCGGTCATGGATTTCTCTACGGCTACGACGACGGCGGGGAACGGTTACAGTTCGCCGCGTGACTCTTCATTCCCTTCGAGTTTCACTAAGTTCAACTCCGCTTTAACGGCGGGTCTTTTAAACCCGATGTCTCCTCCGCCGCCTCCGGCGATGCTCGACAAGACACGATCAAGTCCGACGCTGTTCGAAATGATGGCTAGTGAAGCTGATACCATCGGGAAAGTTCCGGTTCAGATCCATAACGGCGTGCTTCCATCTCCGTCGTCGTCTTCATCGTCTTCTTCGGCGGCTGCTACGGCTGCGAGGACGACGAATGTGAATCATCTCGTCATTTCAGCTCAGGATAAGCAAGCGCTTGCGATGCAAAGGATTTCGGATCTTCTGGTGATTCGGAGCCCCGGGAATCAGTTCAACGATCCGAATTCGAGTGATGTGAAGCTGACTCTGAGCTCTAAGGATGGGATTAGTATCACCATGTGTGTGCATAGGCAGATTCTTGTAGCTCACAGTAGGTTTTTCGCTATGAAATTGTCGGATCGATGGTCTAAGCAGCAGTTGCCGCCGTCGTCTTCTCCGTACATTGTTGAGATCTCAGATTGTGATGACGTGGAGGTGTATATTGAGACTTTGATGCTGATGTATTGTAGAGATCTAAGGAAGAAGATGATGAGACAAGATGTTTCTAGGGTTCTTGGTATTTTGAAGGTATTGTGAGAAATACTCTAAAGTCTCCATTTTTTTACTTTTTGTGTACAAATTAAGGAATCAATTGGTGTTTTTGCAATCACATTGTCAATTTCAATTTGCCATTATTGTTCTCTCAGGTTTCAGCAGCAATTGGGTTTGATGCTGGAGTACTTTCATGTCTGGAGTACTTGGAAGCGGCACCATGGTCAGAGGATGAAGAATACAGGATTGCTTCTTTGTTGTCTGAGCTACACCTTGAAAACGTTGGGGCAACAGAAGTTTTGAGAAGGGTTTCTGTAGAAGCTAGCAATGGGAGTAACGGTGGCAGCAACGATGAGGTGCTTTTGAATCTTTTGCATATTGTTCTTGAGGGAAAAGATGAGAAAGCAAGGCGTGACATGAAAACCCTTGTTTCCAAAATGCTTAGAGAGAACTCGTCTGGAAATGATCTTAGGAAAGAGTCATTGTACTTGGCTTGTGACGGGTGTTTGCATAAGCTTAAGCGGCAGTTTCTGCAAGCAGCAGAGTCGGATTTGGAGAATGTAGTTCAGATAGCAAGACAAGCAGATAATCTGCATTGGATTTTGGACATTTTGATAGATAGACAAATCGCAGAGGATTTTATTGTGATGTGGGCTTCTCTTTCTGAGCTATCCGACGTACATGCTAAGGTCCCTGTTGTTCACAGGTTTGAAATTAGTAGAGTAACAGCAAGAATCTTTGTTGGAATTGGAAAGGGACAAATTCTCACACCGAAAGAAGTGAGGTGTTTGCTACTGAGGAATTGGTTGACACCTTTCTATGATGATTTTGGGTGGATGAGGAGAGCTTCGAAAGGGCTTGATCGGTATTTAATCGAGGACGGTTTAAGCAATACCATCCTCACTCTACCTCTTGCTTGGCAACAAGAGTTTTTCCTAGCTTGGTTTGATCGGTTTCTTAACTCAAATGAAGACTGTCCTAATATCCAGAGAGGGTTCGAAGTTTGGTGGAGACGGGCGTTCTGGAGACGGAAAGAACAGAGTCAAGAGCCTGCCCGGCTAAGGGTCACAGCTTCAGCCACTGATAACTCCTAAGAGATCTCTCAGGTCTGTTTAACCTTGTGTTTATTTCCCAGCCACCTTTGCGCTGTTTCTTGAGGATCACACAATGAGAAGAATATGAATCTTAATCCAAAAGAGAAGGCAATGATGAATGGAGGTGTGTAAGATTTATCGGATTTTAATACCTCGACCGCGGTTAGAATTAGTATGATACAAGTTTTGCATGAACTTGATCGTTTGGAAGTAGTTTTCATTTTGATGACTCGGAGCTCCTTTTTGTACATCTGTCTTAATTTTACTGAATCTCCAATGTGTCTTAGAAGAAGGAACTTTCTAGTTAAACACGTCTCTATGCTCTCTACTTTTGGTACGGTTTTGATTCTGATTCTAATCTTGGTCAGTTTAGCGCACAATATACTAGGGACGGCTTAAACGTAGCACACATCATCGGAGATGAAGGTTGTTTGAGAACAGTGGATTTTGGGGAATCTCTAAGGTTCTAAAATATAACAATTACATTTTCTTGTTATGCATTTAAGGTAATAGACATTCGAACTATGAATGTGATTCTATATTTTTACTAAACGATGCCATTGTTGGCTTGTTGTTTATCTTCAGCATCAATAATTGTAACCCAAAACGACATTGTTCTTCTAGCCATTGATGCCACATTTCGATTCTGTATTGTTCATTGATGCGCAGTCTCAAGGAATGCGAGGCTCAGTTCTTGCTTACACACCAAGGTATCAGGTCTTCTCTCGACGCTAATGTCTTCGTGTGACAACACTTTGCTCAGTTTTATACATCAAGAACAGTGGTATCTAAAACAAAATCAAAGGGTTAAGAAAAATTTGAATGTGCCAAGCTCTTAGTTGATCTATTTGGGAAGTATATTTGAATTTATGCAAAGAATTACTAAGTATATGAGTTTGATTAAACTAAGCTCCCCTGTCCAGAGCTTCCTGCTTATCACTTTCTATAGTAGAGTAACTATGGATTATCTTACAATGAAGTAAATGTTATACCTCTTTGATCTTGGTTGTTATCCACTTAGATGGTTGTTACAGTCTAAAGCTCATAATTCTTGGAACTCAATACGATCTCAACCAACTGAATGTTTCCACTAAGTAAAGAAGCCTTGTAGGAGGGCAAGAATGAGAAGCCATCTAGAAGTTTAACGCACTTTAGGCCCCATTTTACCATCAGGAACTCGATTAGATGATGCCCACTGCAAAATCAAATTTGAACAAATGAAATCCGGAAGAAATCGTCACCCTAAATCTGTTGCGGATATATATATAATATAATAGACGAGTGGGAAGAATGAAAGAATAAGAAATGTGTACCTCCTGTTATGATAAGTGGTGATAAAAACTGCATCCGGAGAACTTTGGAGCAGAAATGAGACAGTCGCAAAGAGATCATCAAATGCTTAACAACAGAGAGGTCCAAGTTCAGATTTCAACTCATTTACAATGGGAACAGAAAAGGCCAATAACCAAAAAAAAATAAAAATGAAACTAACCACTTGAATCATATAAAACATCAGCCCCAAGTATAATGTTAGGTTGCAGGTCAAATATTGGTGCATCCCACACTCCCCAGGTGAGACCCATCACCTGCAATAGACAACCACAAAGAAGTTATAGAAGCAAACTCTACGGAATTTCAAATGTAAATAGCAATCCAAACCCAACAAACTTCGTGAAATTATCTCGGAGACACAAGCATATATCTACAGGGGGATTACATTACATATGCAACATATACTGATTCGTGATAAATTCAGCTAGTATTAAATTGAAGAACAAGGTGAAGAAGGGTATACATTACATTACAGTTTAGCTTGTTAAGCTCACAGACTCTTCTCATATTGTCCAAAACCTGCATATATGTGTGATACAAAATAACAAATAAACTCATATTCTCTAAACCAAAATAACAATAATCTTTTCAACACAAGAACTTAAATTTGACACCTCTGGTTTACTTGCATCATCAGTAAGTGTGACATTAGCCCCAACCTTTGCAGCTACTAAACCAGGCAAGGAAGTACCAGCTCCTAGCTGCAAATTTCATCAACACAAGTCTACGAAAATGTAAAAAAGGTCAAACATTTTTAAGATTCATTAGCTCAAACACATAGTACAATCACACATATCCTAATTCCGTAATCAATTCAAAATCAAGGGTTTTTAGCAAAGAGTAGTTGAATTAGAAATTAACCTCGAGAATGGAAGAATCACGAAATCGAGATCTGTGTTGCCAAACATACTCAGCGAGGATAACGCTACAAGGCCAAACAAACAATCCATACTCTTCCTTCAAATTCTACACACACACACACACACACACAAAATCACACACAAACGATGAAAAAACAAAATGCGAAAGAAGAAGCTCGAATATAAATCGCCATTGTTCACCAGTGAAAGCTTGATACCTCAATAATAGAAATTGAAGTTTCCGAATCTCCATCACCATAGAAATCATGCTGAGAAATCGTCGTCGTAGTAGTCATCATTTGAAAAAGTTTCTCTGTCAACAGAAATCGTAATCGTCATGCTGAGAAATCGTCGTCTTGTTGGGCCGTTGTAGTTTTTATCAGGCCTAAGCCCATTTTAGGTAAGCTTTCTTATATATTAAAAAAAAAAAGTTTATCTGTCAACAGCTAATTAGGGTTTTGAAAAACTGAAGAAGAGAAATTTGAAATTGTAATTTGTCCCACATCGGTTAGTAGAGAAGGGAGGGATATGATTATTTGGCTATAAAAGGATTAGAGGTCGATTAGTTAAAAAACATGATCCTTCAGGCAAGTTAAAGGGGAAATGAGGAGTGGTTAATAAACTCGCTTAATGCGAGAAGAGTGTTTCGCTCAGCCTGTTACGACAATTGAGCACTCTCCTTCTTTTATCATCTGATCCCTCTCCTGAATTCGATCACTATATTAGATTAAAGTGACTTTTTTTTCTCCTTTTTTTTTGTTCTTTTCTTCTTTTGTTGAAAAAAAAATCGACTCAGAAAAGTTTTTTTTTTTTTTTTTTTTTTTTGTCATCCTTGCGCAGGGACCATGCTAATCTTCTCTGTATCGTTCCAATTTTATCGGATGTCCCCGAAGGGACGACTCAGAAAAGTTATAAAATGGTTTTTATTTTCATTCAAGTTTTTTAGTTTCCGTAATTATTTTTTCGTTGAATTATTTTTATTTTTTTGGCCTTGAATGCATTTTGTTAAAAAGAGTCATACAAAACAAACATACAAAGGGAAAGCCCAACAAAGTAATTTAGTAAGTGTTTTTACAGAAAATTGGGGACGAAGGGATGAAGCCGGATTGAAGATGGGGACATGACCACCGAAATAATTGGCTATTTAAGCTTTTCAAAATCTATTATCTACGGATGTTTCAAAAGAAGCAAAGGGCGGTTTCAAAATGAAGCAAAGAGCGATTTCAAATTTCTCGCGTTTGATGTTAAGTGCTGAAAGGTTGGACCTGCAAGTGTTTGTTATAATTGAATTGTGAGATGTGGAATCCTAGGGATAAACACGGGATAGTGTAAGACAGTAAAATTTCATTCAAGATCCAAAACGTCCCTACCAAACTTGTAAACAATCAAATGAGTAGGAAAATGCTACATTAAGCCATAGAGGTTTCAAGACTCATTAAGTTCTCAAACAGAGCGCTATCAACTTGAGACCATAACCAACAGGAACGGCCAAAGATTGGATGTTCATAGACTAATTGACAGATATATGATTAGAATTTTTAGGAAGTTACAACCACATAACTTAAGAAAACTGGATGTTCAATACACTTTCATAAATTGAAGACAATCTAAGCTATATATGACAGCAGATTCAATAGATTGTAACTAAACCATTAAGGAGTTCCTTTGTAGATGACACGAAACACAGAACAAGTACCAAAGGACGCAGACTATACCCTGAAAGCAGGCTGATATCTAGGAACTCCTCAGTATCCATCTCTGTCACCAAACCTCCTCTCTCCCTCAAAACTAAGCGGACCACTGCAGAACAAAAATAAAAGCCACAAAAATATCAGAAATGTACTCCCATCATATTGGATATAATAAAAGAAAAGAAGGTACACTAATAATGACATCAAAGACTAATTACCACGGGGCGGCAGCAGAGTGTGCCTCCCATTGGTTGGCCAAGAGGCTTCTGCTGCTTATTTAAAATGTCTGGAACAATCTCAGACGGGAGATTGAGGTAAGTCAATGCCTTCATTGATAAAAGGAACCAGTAGTAATGCATCCAAGCAAAAGTCTCTCTCACATACTCCTTTGACTTAAAGCTTTGCATAAGCTTAATCACCTGCAAGATTCGGAACACTCTCGATCAAGGGATTAGCATACAAAACTCCCTCTAAGCAAACAGAAACCAACAAACAAAAGTAACATTTCTAAGTAATCATAGTGTTACACATTGTTCTTGCTAACTATATTCGAAGTAAGAAAGGCATTTCGAGATTCAGACACGGAAAAAGCTAATGTTAAAACAATGGGCTAAGTACCAAGTGATTCAGAATATCTAAATACATATATACTGATATACAGATCGAAGTAACAAATAAAAAGAGTTGCACCTTTGAAGTGGTACGTGGAGATCTCGCGGCGATCCTTGTCTGAAATAACAGAGGAAACAGAGTAATATACTATTATTTATGTTCGAGTTAGTAGCAACGAAAGAATTAAATTGGACAGAAGAAGAACCTACCTACCATAATAAGCCCATGTGTTTTGAGCTTCAAGCTGACATGATAAAATGGAGAATGGTCACGTCATCAGCTACCGGATTCTATCGGCTTTTTCCCCAAAACCGAGAGACCGAAGCAGAGGAAGAGCCAACTCCAACAATCTGTGCGTTTCTCGACTTCTTTGGATGAAAGATCATCAACATTAGTTTCATCTACAATGACTTCTTCGCTGGGTTCATAGCTACCTTCCATGCTCTCCTCTTCGGTCAAGATCTTGGCGCCACATTCAATAATCTCGAATCCGTGGAGTACTCTGCTGAATTCGAACACCATCTCTCTGCTCACGTCAGAGGGTTCGCTAAATGGGGAGGGAGAGTGAAATATAAATACATGTTCCTTTCGACATCTGCCGGCATCAAAAGCATCTACAGAGACGTGGTCGTAGTCACATCTGCCTATCGGAGGATTACACCATGATTCGGAATCATCATATTCTTCTGTGGTTTGATCGTTAATGGAAACCACAACACAAACCAAAAAGCTGCTGCAAACGTCTGGAGGAATGGTCAAGGAATTTCCTCTGCCTCGGTGATCGAACTCTGGAGGCACTTCTTTTCCTGGTAAGAGAGCCGACCCGCTACGAAGCGAAGGTTGGATAATTGCTCTTCGTGCTTGTTGGCTCAATTTGAAGCAGTTGGTGAATCTGAGTTTCGCATTTGAAGTGTTCAAAGGGTGAAACACGGTCTTCAGTGATTCACAATCTTCTGCCTCTATGGATTTGAGTGAACGAGGGAGCTCTGGCAATGATGCGAGGCTTTTGCAGCCGTATAGAGTAAGGCTTTCTAGCTGATGAAGATCTTTAATGCAATCTGGAAGCCTTTCAATATCAGAATTGCTTAGGTCTAGTGTTATCACATTCGTGGGGAGATGTGTTAATCTTTTGAACTTTTCATTAAAGCTTATATAGAGAGATGTAAGACGAGAGCAAAGACTAATTGAGGGAGGCACATCTTGAACCGCTGTCTCTCCTATATACAGTAAGGTAATGTTCGTTGACAAAAGTGGAATATGTCTCAACCTCAAGCATCTTCCCATGAAGACTTGATCAAGGGATGCCAAGTTCATGTTAGCTGGAAAGGATTCTAGGTTTATGCAGCTATTCAACATCAACCACTGTAGTTTATGAAGATTCGAACAAGAGGATGGAATCTTTACTAAACTCTCGCAGCACATAAGATTCAATTCCTCCAGATTTGTAGCATTTGAAAGATCTGGGAGTATCTTCAAATTCTGGGACGCTGTCAAATCAAGTTTCTTGAGATTTGTAAGCCCCTGAACGTAACAACCAAAACAGAGAGCAGAACATCATATTACATGAAGAGAAAACACATATTCATATATTTAAAGTGCAACACCCACCTGAGGTCCTTCCCAAAGCTTCTCGAGCTTGCTACCCTCAAAATATAGTTCGACAAGATATTCAGTATGGAATGTTGGAGGAAGACTCTTGCTTGGGTATGCTTCCCAATCTAGTAACCTTAGACGACGCGGAAACTCCATCTCCTTAGGTATATGCATTCTATCATTTCCATCATATTTACCTTTGTAGACTTTGAGGAATCGAAGATTAGACATTCTTTTAAAAGCTTTCTTGCTTACAAATACTTCTGTGATTCTTGATATATCAAAAGAAATACCAAGAACATTCCAGGTACCCTAAACCAAATTCCAAATAAAAGAAATTGTTAGCACGATAGATTGTATTCGTTTATCTACACCAAATGCCTAATTTAAAGTATTAATTATGAACAAGGAACACAAGAAATATTTGAAAAAAAAAGATAAGAAATACAAGAGAAAGAACTTACTTCGGCATGTTCAAGAACATCACGAATCGCCGAAGCATCTATTAAGATTTGGCGTTTCCAAGGCTCTTGTTTTTGAACGGTTTTTATACCCACTTGTTCTAGTAATCTGTGCATCACTATCTTTTCCCCATACGTAGATCTCTCTATCTCTATGAGAGATCTGTTTTCAAGGATTTTCAATCCGTATTTGACATCCAAGTCACTCTCAGCAAACATGGTTTCCACAAGCTCACCATATTTATAGTTGAAGAAGACTGCAATGTGGAGAAATAGAGATTGCTCATTATCATCTAAATTCTCATAACCGACTCTTAGTACTTCCTCGATACCTCCATCAAGAATAGTTTCTACTTTCTAGCCTGTGTATTACTTGTTCCCACTCCTCCTTGTTCTTTCCACGTAAATATGAACCCACCACACATAGACCCAATGGAAGATTACCACAAAGGCCTGTTACTCTTCCCGCATGCTCTTCAAAACCATGACATGAAGAGCTATGTCTAAAAGCCTTTCTACATAAGATCGTGACAGCTTCATCAAAAGATGGAAACCCAACATTGTACGTATTGTTGATAGTATGCTGCTGCAAAAGCTCTTTGTTTTCTGTGGTAACTATAATCCTACTTCCAGAACCAAACCATGTAGCTTCATTCGCCAACGCCTCTAATTGCTTTATATGGTTCACATCATCAAGAATGATGAGCACTCTCTGCTTGCATAATCTATCTTCTATCACACCAGAATGGCTTATCCTAATACCATCCTGGTTCAAAACCTTTGAAAGAAATTGTTCTTGTAAATGCAACTTGTTTAGACCACTGAGATAGCTTCCCCTCAGATTGTCCATAAAACAAGTAAGCTGAAACCTATGAGAATGTAAACTTTGTAAAGCTTTGGCAATTGTTGTCTTACCAATCCCAGCAGGACCGGAGATTGCAACCATCTTAACTCTGTCATTATCTAAATCTAGCAAAGACTCCATTTCTTTCAAATGAGCTTCAAGTCCCACCATGCCATCAAACTCCCTTGCCGGTGTAGCATTGAGTTTATCTGAAACATCTCTGGCAATTTTCTTGATCATGCTTGCTTCATTGTCGCTAAACAGAGAGAGAAAATAAAGAAATTCCCGGTTTCCATCAAATAGTCATAGAAATAACATTCCTCATCTATTCCCAATAATTTATGACATGTATTTATACTATTCATTAAACAAAAAAAATTCACTTTATCAAACATAAAACACCACTAACTGTTTATTTGTTCTCTGGTGATTACTACTTAATAGAACCTGAGAAATGAAAACTCTTATTAGCTAAGACCAACCATTTTTGGAAGTCTTCGCCAGCAATGTTGCTCACATCAAACAAAGCTTTGCTCCATTTCTGCCTAGCCTCGTCCGTCTTACGTGCACAAGTTTCATCAAAAGCGATCCCAAATTTTCCGGTTTGGTTCCGTACATCGGATGGCTCCACTCCATGGAATATGGTCATCACTATCTGTCCCATAGCTTTTTTGCACTCCAATATCTCCACTAATT